TCCTCACGTGTCGATCCTCGAATTTTTGTGCCATTATTAAACAACTGGTTATTGGAAATTGCTATTGCGCACGTCATTTTAGCACGTAGTATTCGTAGGAAACAAAATTGGTCGATGTATCAAAAGTATTGCAAGAAAAGCAGATGTGTCAATACTTCTTTGCGATCCACTGTGTCTATTTTTACATTTCCGTAAATTTTGACACATCTACAACTGTTGACACACTTTAGTCGAATCAAGTATGCAACGTGTTTGTACCGTATAGACTCGAATAGAACGGCACAAAGTGGGGAAAAATAGTGGCCCCGGAATGCCGAAATTCTTGGAAAACAGCGTCGACCGTCTGCCAACCGATTATTCCTGTCAAGCGGTCTCGAGAGAGAGAGCGAGCACATAAACAAGCGAGCAAGTTACGCAACAAAGGTTTTCAATAAATCTATATTGATGTCCCACCAGCAGTGTCCCCGTTGCTGCAACGATTTCTAAGGTCGAGCCGAGTCCCGTGTTCCCTCGTTCGATCTTGTATAGTTCCCGGAGTCTAGCAAGTTCAACACCCTTGATCTCCCACTCCCAGTTGGGGGGCTCGCTGCGCTAACCACCCCACAGTGATCGAAGTCCCCGTGGAAGTGGCTCGGTATTGGCTACTAACAGGCCAACGAAATTCCCTCCTCCGAGAGCCAACTAGATTATGTCCCCCGTCTTTTTTTTTTTTTTTTCTCCCCCCGTCCGCCTTTGCAGTTCAGTTCCCCGACGTTCTGCTTGCGACCAAATTCAATCACCGACCAAACTTCTCGTCTTCCTCTGAGTCTTCCTCGTCTTTCTACTTTGTCATCGTCGGGTCACCTCCTCTTTTTTCTCTTCCTTTCCTTGGTTACCGTCTCCTGGATGGTGAAGTTTCGTCCACCACTCGAACCCGTCTCGAACGTTCCGATAATAAGTACAGCGGCTCGCGAAAGTCTCTCATTCTTATATAATACAGTCTATCAATCCGTCTGAGGTAGCTTAATCTTTGCGATCAAAGACGTTCACTCACAGTCAGTCTGGTGCGTCACGCGCCGATAATTGTACATATCTCGTTGCAGAGCTAATAAAAAGTCAAATAGCCTCGCGCGACGTGTAACAACCTTTACTGCTGCCGCGTATTCACCGCGTTTCTCTTTTGTATCGCCGATACTCTGCGAGTATTGCATATTGCGTAAGTTATGCGACAATAGCGATGGCATGGCGAGAGTGAACCGATTGTCGTTGAATTCTCGGACAAACGATCGAAACGATTGCCTCGTCTGTGACTGGTGATCTGCATGATCCTCTGAATAACGTAAGTAACAGACTGACGACTGTTAGGCGGTTGGTTTCGTTCGAAAAGAAAATCCCTTATAGATTAAGCTACCTTGCGCTGGCAACTGGTTCGCGGTCCATAACGAGTGATCGAACCGTACACGATAATTCGTCGCTTTCTATGTGTATCTATATATGTGTATGTATGTACAGTTGAAATACAAAAATTCAATAATACAACTTCAATAATGTATAATATATATATAATATAATATAAATTATATATAATATAATATAAATATTATTGAATTTTTGTATTTCAACTGTACAGACTTACATACATACACACATACATACATATATATATATGTACAATTGAAATACAAAAATTATATATAATATACATATATATATTTATATTTATTTATATAGGTGATGCTTGACTTCTGTGCATTCTGCTTTCGTGCAATTCGCTACTTCGTACATATATTTAACCCATAGCGCTGGTTCGCGGACCATAACGAGTGACCAAACGAGTGTACAATATTCGTCGCTCTCTTTTGACGCTCGCCGGAATGATATCACTGGATAGAAATTATTAAGAAGTAATAAACTTATCATTTGTTTCGCCTGGGTTACATTTAAGTATACTTAAAACTGAGGAAATGTTGCAATTTGGGAGAAAAAATTCTCAACGTGCGTGGCAAGAGGTTAAAACTGTATTAAGTTTTAACCTCTCATAAGTTAATAAAGTAAAATAAAATTTTAATTAAAATTTAATAAAATTTAATAAAATAAAATTTTAATAAATTAAAATTTTATAAAATAAATTTAAATTTTTGTGCAGTATCGAAAAATGGTATTGCTTATGGGTGTTATTGGCCTAATATTATCGCTAATGTTTCACTCGCGAAACGACGTTCGTCTCGATCAACGACTTGCATCAAACGCACGACCGCGATCTGCCCCACTGGCGAGGTATCGATCTGCCCCTTCCGTAATCGAATATGCAACGTTTTTCACTGTTGAAAATTCATACGACGCCCGCATCTCGCGATTCCTCGCAGAAACCCTTCAAATATTCATGTCTCCTCGGTCGTGGTTCCACCCTCGCCCACGAATACATTCACACTCGACACGTTCAGAGTTCTAAGTTCAAAGTCTTCGTCGAGAGGTGCGTCGAAACCGCGTTTGCCAACGTTCAAACGCAACGTCGTCTCAAAGAGGAACGGGACGACGTTTATAGGTAAATAATAAGAGGCGTCTTCCAAACATTCAACCGACTCTCGCCCGGATCAAGAGAATTCCAAATGGAGTGCAGCAAGAGATCGAGAAAGAGATTTCGTATATCGTCGTTTCGCGAGAGACGCGATATACAGATACGCGATGATTTCAGCTGAAATGGACTCGGTGTTACTCCGTCTGCTTTGCTACGATTTACATTGCGCGTCCTGAGTGAGTGAACGGGCCCGTAACGATAACGGCTGACGAAACAGCGGTACGCGAATCCATCGGCCGGAGGATTCGAAGGCTGCGTGACTCGAGGCAATGACCTGGCTTCCGGAGATAAGGGCGAGTTCTCGGAAACCCTTCGAGCCAACCCTTCGTTGCATCTGAAAGGCCGGGCCTTCGGGCATTAATCATTTTTCTCGCTCCTATACTCTCGCCTTCGGTCGACGTCCGAGGCCGAACGTTGCGATCGAGATTGCGAGCCGGGGGAAATTGAATCGACGAAACAGCACCCGGTTCGAAACACTTCGATAATGCATTCGAACGATCCTTCGTGCCGACAGGTAATTCGCGGCGAGCTCGTTCAATTTCCAACGATGATTCCTCGAAATGGTGGGAACCGTACGACGATTCGCACATGCAAATACAGATACACAGCGAAGTTTTTCTTTTCTTTTTTTTTTCTTTTTATATCTCGGTCGATCGTTGAAATTTGCGCAGAGACACCGAGGTGAACGCCAAGTGACACTCGGTGTACGTGCACCTTTGATTGTGAAACGGTTTTTGCTGGGTCGACACCACGGCGTAGCCTCGCGCTGGTGGGCGTTCCCCGAGTGCATCGTGCGAATTTACTAGGGATCGCAGAGGGTATACGAACCAAGGGAAAAATCAATGCAACGCGGCCACCGAACACGCAACGTGGAACCTAGTCCACGAAGGAAACCGTCGCGTCGTGTCCGGTGGTATCGAGAGGTGGTGTTCTTAAAAGTAGGTGACAGGTGTATTCGTAAGAATAAGTATTCGCAAGACTAGGTACCTTCACTCGAGTATGTAAGATACTCGAAGACCCGCGAGATATCCGGATAAAGCAAACTTACGCGAATATCTTATGAGATTTTCGATATATCTCACGAGGTACCCGGATATCTTTTACGATAATTAAGACTAGAATTATTATTATCCGACTTATCGGGTAGCCAAACAGTCGATGTTTTCGTGACAAATAATAAAACAAATTATGATTCATGTCCATTAGAAACATGGTGAAGAAAAATGTCCAAGATTGGAAAAACTTGGCGAGAAATATTTATGTACATCAAGAATATCTGCCAGCTCTGAAAGAGTGTCTTTCACAACTAGTTTAAGACAGAGCACTACTACTGAAAAATGTAGATCCGTTAATATTTTTGTACAAAGGTGAAGGATAATTTCTAATTTAAAATAATTATTTCATTGTTTTGTTATTTGTTGTTAAAACATAAATTACATAGTAGACATCCGAGTAATATAAGTCGAAATAATAAATATATATTCTCAATTATTTAATGTATCTGGCTATCTGATGAGATAATTGAGGTTGGAATTATTACTATTTGGACACTCGATATAATTTTATCCAATGTTTTCGTGACAAATAATAAAACGAATTATAATTTCTGTCCATTAGAATGGTGGAGAATCGGAGAAGAAAAATGTTGTCCAAGATTGGTAAAATTTGCTGAAAAAATATTTATGTATACCAAACAATATATATAATCGTCAGATTTGAAAGAGTGTCGTCCGCAACTGGCAATATTGTTAGTTTAAGACAGAGCACTACTACTGAAAACTGTAGCTCTGTCGATATTTTTCAAGGACAAAGAATAAATTTCCAATTTAAAACAATTATTTCATTGTCTTATTATTTGCTAAAAGATAAATTACATTCTAGACAGTCGAATAATACGAATAGAAATAATAAACATTTAGTCTCTCAATTATCTGAATCTCGTAAGATTCGGATATCAGAGCAATTTTTATTTACTTAAGTATCTCATAAGTGACAGTTCTAGGGTCCCCTATGAGGCGATCGAAAAATTATTTTACTTCCATTTAATCATAGAACGCGATTAAAATATTAGTCGAAAGAATTCAAATGTATTATTCAATCGTAGACACGCGAATTCTCACAAGAATCTCGTAAAAATTCGCGAGAAGATTTCCTCCAGAAATTCGGTGGATATTTGCTAACTGAATGCTTTACTACGACACAATTGTTTCATATCAATTACGACTTGCTCGCGACTCACAACAAGTTGATTTACTAGATTAATTTCACGGTTCTTGCTTACACGCAGAACGAGCCGAGAATTTATTTCACTTTTTGCGCAACTCTGGATTCCGCGCAACACTCTAAAACTGTGTGTGTAACGTGGAAATAGCGTAACAGGCGGTCCTGCTTCAAAGATTGATCGAACGTGTAAAAAGAACGTGATACGAATGCGTGTACTCACCGATCTTCGGTATGTTCCTGTCATGATTTCCCTCGGTGGAAAACTGAAACAGAAAGAAAAAAACGGAGATTGAACGTCACCGATCGTGTCACAAACGGTTCATACGCGAGGCATACGCTTTCCCAATTCGACACGAACACGATAGAAATCACGTCGGCGCATTGATTGGCGTTCTTTTTTCTTTTTCTTTTTTTATATATTTCCCTGTGTAATGGACTGCGCAGTTCGATGGAATGTCCTTTGGACGAGAGAAGGCGAATGGATCTCGAGCGAGATGGGGAGAATGCTTTTAGCTTATGGGAGAGGATTCTACGGACAGAAGAAGAAATTTATCGGTTTCCTTTGATGCCTCGGACGCGATAATAAAATATTTTTCGCTGTGCTCCCCTCACGTTTTCATCGCCAGCAAATTTCCTGGACATTTGTTTCCTTACTCCGAACTGTCGTGCGTGCACCTTGATGATTTTTATCAGACTCGTTGCAACAATCAAGTCGAGTGCACGAACAAAGAGAGCTGCAGCTTTCCTCGACAAACGCGCGTGTAAACGTTTCGGGACGTTTTACAGCGCGAAGAAACTCTCGTTAAAGAACTAAATCACGTAGCTCCTCGTTAACGCCGGCCAGAGAAAAGAAACCTCGCATCGGGAGGCAGCAGACGCTTTTCGTTTTACACAGTGAACACGTATGTCTCGCGGTTTCTAAAGGTGAACCGAGTCTGTTCGAAGCCAGGTTCAACGGGGAAATAGAAGTCGGCAGGAGGAAATTTCGAAAAAGTCGTTGCCTCGCGAAATTCTCGCTGTCTGTTCTGTGAGAGGAAAGAACTAATCGATACACACGGCTCTATCTTTCGTTATCGAGTATCGTATCTATCCATCTGTTGTGTCGATCAGTCAGGGATTTCGATTAAATCGCGCGTGTTAAATTACCGATCGTTAATTTTGTTCCTCCCTTGTTTCGTTTTTTTTTTTTTTTTTTTTTGAAAAACAAACGAGATGCTGTCAAATGCGAATTTTGAAAAAATTGCAAACTGAAAAAACTAGAACATCGATATTCTCCACTACGTCTACATAATAAATACTGTACTTTGCTCTAGTTCCGTGTCGTATTTTTACTCTGCTCTAACTCGGTGCTTTTTTTGTCCGTACGAATATCACTGATATCTGTATCGAGAGGAGGATTTTAATCATAGATGACGGAGCACGGATCGGAGATATGGAAAAACGGGAGAGAATTATTGCGAGCGTCTTTTGCACATAGAACGCGAAAGAATGTAAAAGAAAGATCGATGAGATACGTTTCTCTCGTATGTTGAGTCGACGAAATATGTATCTTCCTCAAGGCGATCGCGCCCTAAAAATTCCTTCTTCTGTGAAAGCCAAAATTCTTTCGTTCTTTCTTTCTTTTTTTATACACGAGGGACGTGTCTTGAGAAATTCATGGATGCGTCTCTGTCCATGAATCGACGAAGAAAGAGAAAAAAATTCAGCGGCAAAATTAGTGACGATAGGGTGACGCGGAATTCGCAATTGTTGACGAGAAATGTTACAGAGGCAGAGCGAAATGTTGTCATTTAGATGCAAAATAAGTTATTCGTAAAAATAGAAGTGTCGGCGTTTCGTTTCGCGAAATTTCATCGTTACAAAATTTACGTTGCTTTTGCGAAGAAATTTGATTCACTGGCAGAGAATAGATGAAAATTTCGTCAATTGAACGAATCAATTATTAATATATATCGCAACGTGTTTATCAGTTCAGAAGAAGTAATTAAGATCTCTTTTAAGAACTTCCACATTTTTTCACGAATATATCAGTCAATGTGAAAATATCTAATTTGAATAAAATCATCGTCGGAACTGAAAGTGCTTCGTGGATGAAACGTTCGAAAAATTTGCCATATTTGGCGAATCTTTTCGGCATATATTAAATAATATATGCAACGTAAATTATTTAAATAAATGGCCAGTTTTTGGGTACTTTTTATTTAGACACGCTGTTACGATTAATAGTTTTGCTTCTGAAGTATTTCTATTTCTCACAATTTTTATAACAGTGCAAATACTGTAACTATCGAGAAAAGTATCTATAGTTCAAGACGCATTACAGAACAAAGCAGTAAATTCAATTTTAAGGTATTATTTTAACAAACGATTTCTTAATGATGTCAAAATTAATTTAAAATAAAACATTTTGTCCCAAATATTTTTAATATTGTTGTTTACATTCTAAATGATAATAAATAATATTAAATAGTAATATAATTATATATTACTATATTTATAGTACTATATTTTAATTTTTTAACATTATTTCGATAACAAATTTTACAGCGTCTTTTTATCGAATTGAGTTGATTGTGAAAAGAGAAAAAGAAACATAAAAAGGGTCAATACGCGACTTTACAACAAATTTTTAAAAAATTCTTCGTTTCACAATAAAAATTCCAAATGACTTGTGGGGCGTATACGGTCCACGCGGTTCCCCTTTTCGTTTCTTGTCTTGCCTAACAACAATACTGATCTGAACAAGCGACGTGGACAACGTTTGTATCGGAAGCAAGAGCCATTAAACGCGATATAAAAATTAATCATCGACGACCGTAGTTGCCACGATGGCGGATACAGCGGCCGGTTAGCTTCCGTCTCGGCTGTTTTCTCGGCGATCGCCGTGAAAAATTGCCGGTAACGTCGGCCCGTGTCGCGTCGCATCGCTTAGAGAGTAGCGGGCGTCAATTAAATGAAATATTAAGCGTCAGCCGATTACGAGTTCGCCGATGTTTGAATTAATAATTCCTCGGCAAAATCCTCTCGGCGGCTATCAGTTATTTAATCAGTTGTCGAGTTGATAATTAATTAAATATCAACTACACCGCTACAGTGTAGCGAACGCAGCGAACACTTCACCTCGAGCATCTTTAAGCGTTTCTAAATGAAACGAGCGTTCGAAGCGCGCGATAACTTGGCGGGAAACGAACTGTGCGTCAATCCGATGATCGATCATCCCCCTAACATCCCTCTATGGACCGCTTGCAACTTTCAAGTCACGTACTAACATATCGATATTTTATTAAATTGTAAGGATAGAAATTGCAAGGCAAACGTTGTAAGCCGTTGTCACTTCAAAGTTACAAACCCTGTATTCGTCGTAGTAAAATCGTTGAAACTGCTTCGATTCATTCTGTCAATCTGTATTTGCAGGTTGATGTCCGTTGATTTTACTTCAGATAAATCTTTTGGTAGTTGTGAAAAAAATTCTACCCGCAAAAAGGTTAATTACGAGTCGGCAAAAATCCAAGGATAAAGAAGGTTAAATTGCAAGGGAACGTCCAGAGCGAACTCTCGACGATACGATTCGAATTCAACGATTGATCGATTGCCGAATCGAGGCGATAACGATTCTCACGCCAATTTTATCTGGAAAAATGATGTTCGACGAAGGGGAGACGAACATTATCTCGCTGGAGGGACGACTGTTGACGATGGACGGGACGTGAACTGTCCCCTTTAATCAGGAACGATTCGACAACGATTTTCGCAAAAATGAACGCGTCGATAGCGGTGGCAGAAAGTCGGCAAAAAGCGCGGGAATTGATAGGCGAAACGTTTAAGGGATTTATTACCCTCGGATCGTCTGACTGTCTGAGAACTTGCAGCGAGCGGGATTTATAGCGCCATCGAAATCGAATAAATTCCCCCGGAGATTTGCGTGTTGCGATTTCTTAGACACCGATAGCGGTGTCTAGTTTACGCTTAACATCGGAACGATTGAAATGACAGCCGGCAGATTTTCACAGTTAACACCAGAACTACCAAAGTGGCCAAAATGACCAAATTTGTGGTTTTCTATGAGAACTTTATATATTTGTGACAATGTATTTTTAGATATGTACTTGTGATTTTTAACAAAATATTGTACATAATAGAAGCTTGTGTTCTTTACTGTGTTATTAATTTTCCTCTTTTATTTATTTAACTTTGTACTTTAACACGTTGAATGCCATGGGACATGTGAAGATGTCAAGATCAGTAAAAACACATAATTCGAGTCAATGTCAATATTTCGAAATTTTTCAATATTTTAACCTTCGTTACCTACAGTGGCGTAAAGAAATTAAGCCGTATAGAACCGTGTAAAAATAATTTTAATGTTTACGCATATAATATGTATGTGTCAATATTGTTCGCGCATAATATATTGCGATATATATCGTATTCAAACACTCCAAACAAAGAAAAGGTGAATCAGTACAGTTTTCACAATATGTACAGTTTCACGACGATTTTTTTTGATAAAATTTTTTTGCTTTTGTTCTATCTAATTTCGAATTTTTTTCCATAATATCTTCTACGAAATCGTCGCCCGACGCTGACATTTCCTGCCATTTTTTTCCATTTCGTGTCATAATTTTCTCTGTGAGTTTGTGCACGTCAAAGAAATGCAACTCTCAATCTCACTATATCGTAAAAAATAAGTAAAACTCGACGAAACGCATTTCAGTGCCGCGAGGATCGTTAATCCATTAAACATGGTTATATACCTCAACTTATCTGTTCCGGATAATATTTCACAAATAAAAAAAAGAAAGACAAGTTCAGTGTTCTCGTTGCAAACTTTCATATATTTTCAATCGATATATATATATTTTTCTAATCAATGTATTGTAAAAGTTATTTTAATATCCTCATAAATAACATCGGTTACATTGAACTGATAAAAATATATGTAAACTATGTACGGCTGTCGACGAAATTTTTGTCGGCCAATGAGGCCCAGAAGCTCTAAAATGGTTGGACATCCGTGATCTAGATGCTAGACTGATGCATTCGTGCCTCGCCGAAGTATATAAAAGCGTAACCTAACCTACGCGTAAAAGAATGAACCTCTGAACAACTCGATATTGCGTCCATTGTTCAAAGGGCTATCATTCGAAAAGAGTTAACTGAAAGATATGAAAGACCAGTGGAATAACGCTTCGAACGAAAATTGTAGCATACCAGGGACCACCCGTCACGCTGACATTTATTTGACGTCGCAACGGCCATGAAA